TTCAGAGGATATTAGGGGTGTTTAGAGAATACTAGGGGTGTTTATAGGATACTAGGGGTGTTTAGAGGATACTAGGGGCGTTTATCGGATACTATGGATGTTTAGAGGATACTAAGGATGTTTACGGAATACTATAGGTGCTTAGAGGATACTAGGGGTGTTTAGAGGATACTAGGGGTGTTTACAGAATACTAGAGGTGCTTAGAGGATACTAGGGGTGTTTATAGGATACTAGGGATGTTCACAGAATAATAGAGGTACTTTGAGAATATTAGGGGTGTTTATAGGATACTAGGGATGTTTAGAAGATACTAGGGGTGTTTACAGAATACTATAGGTGCTTAGAGAATATTAGGGGTGTTTAAAGGATACTAGGATGTTTAGAGGATACTAGGGGTGTTTAGTGGATACTAGAGATGTTTATAGGATACTAGGGGTGTTTAGAGGATACTAGGAGTGTTTAGGGGATAATAGAGGTGCTTAGTGGATACTATGGGGTGTTAATAGGATACTATGGATGTTTAGAAGATACTAGGGGTGTTTAGGGGATACTAGAGGTGCTTCTAGAATACTGAGAAGAGCAGAACCATATAAAGGCCTTTTTAACGCACGTTTTATTTATAAAATATTGATAGAAAACTACTTTTTAAAATAAAATCGTATAATGATGTTTAACAATTTCTATTTATATGAAGTGTATCTAAAGATCAATTTAACTAAACGTTTACTAAAAGTAAATAGAAACTATTCCTATGGGACCCTATTCTTGGCTCCCCCCCCCCATCCCTCTCTAATAGTTTTGTAGATTATAGAACATCTACAGGAGAGGGGGAACCATTTCTAGATCTTGTAAATCCAGTGGTTTTCTCTTATCAAAACTATGTAAGGAGGAAAGGGTTGCAAGGAGGGGATGGTTGCAAGGAGGGGGTATATTTAACAATCTATCAATCTATCTATCTATCTATCTTTTTAGCTTATATAGATGCATCCATACAAATATATTGTCAGCATAAAATCTGGACATAGAGGAGTGGCGGGGCATTACAAATTCCAGAAAACCTTCTTTGTTTTATCAGCTCGAGACAAGATTAGAAGACTAGATTAGAACGTTGTAATATCTGCCTTACCAAGGAGAGAAATATTAAACCTAGGATGGGACCTCACGTGCCGAGTACAGTGGGGAATGTTGGAGAGAAAGTCTTCATCGATCTGGTATCATTCTCTGAAACAGTAAGAAAGAATCATTATTATCATCAAAGGAAACTGGTACAGCATGGCAAAAGTCTTAATTCGAGAACATTTCAGCCTGTTTGTTCTACAAAACCAGATACACTCGGACAACGGCAGAGAGTATATCAACCAACTATGGAAAGAGTTGTTTCAAGAAATTACATACCAAGACACCACCATATAATCCATCATTGATTATCGTGGAGAGATGGCATGGAACTATAGTGAGAATTCTGAGAAAAATGGGAAGAGAAATGCAGGATGAATGGAATCTGGGTGTGAAAGCCCCTTGTTTAGTCTACAATACCACCATACATACTAGCCGGGTCAAACCCCAGTCTTTGCCATGTTTGGATGAGAAGCTGCACTTCCTGTCAATTGGGTCTATCCTGTACCTAAGGCTGTCAGAGAAATAGAGTTATTAGACTGGACTGAAGTGGTGCATAGGGCTTATGCTGCAGGATGAGAGATTATCAGCAAGCCGCAGTACCACGGAATGCTCAATACTACAAACAGATTATGTAACAGTTTCGAGGTTTGTCAATTCTGGGTCTTTGATCTGAAGATTGTACCTGGAAGTTACGTTCAGATCATATTGGGCATGACCATACCAAATTATCAGAAAAATATCTCAAGCATTAGCGGAAGTAATGACAGTGTACAATCGTAAAATTACGTCGTACATTATTCATATAACAATAACACAAATCCTGTATTGCAGTTAACCCATTCCATATATATAACTCCATCATATCCATATTGTGATTGTTTAACTACGTTATATATAATCAACAGCGCATAACTTGTAATTACGCTTTTGGGTGTTTAAAGGGTACAAGGGGTGTTCAGAGGAAAACACAAATCCTGTATTGCAGTTAACCCATTCCATATATATAACTCCATCATATCCATATTGTGATTGTTTAACTACGTTATATATAATTAACAGCGCATAACTTGTAATTACGCTTTTAATACCCAATTATAATCTGAACTAAAGAAATAAACCTCGGTTCATAGAGTAACTCTGTACTGATAACTGTGAGAGAGTTATCCTGAAATCCTGCTTTGTGTCACAGGAGTCGTCCGCATAATCAATTTATAGCTTGTTGATAGCTAGGCTTGTGTCCTTGTGTGGCATTTAGAGCGGATTGTCCCCATCATTTGGGATCAATTTAGAGCTTGTTGATAGCTAGGCTTGTGTCCTTGTGTGGCATTTAGAGCGGATTGTCCACATAATTTGGGATCAATTTAGAGCTTGTTGATAGCTAGGCTTGTGTCCTAGTGTGGCATTTAGAGCGGATTGTCCCCATCATTTGGGAACGATATATATAGCTTGTTGGAAAGCTAGGCTTGTGTTCCTGTGTGGCATTTAGAGCACTGAATTGATAGCTTGTTGGATAGTTACACTAGTGTCCCTGTGTGGCATTTAGAGCCAAGTGGTTTGTGATCTGGTTGATAATAGCTTGCTGGATAGCATACGCTTGTCTCCTTGTGTAGCATTTAGAGCCAGGGGGATTGTGTCCTGGTTGATAATAGCTTGCTGGATAGCTACGCTTGTCTCCTTGCATGGCATTTAGAGCCAGGTGGATTGTGTCCTGGTTGATAATAGCTTGCTGGATAGCTACGCTTGTCTCCTTGCATGGCATTTAGAGCCAGGTGGGTTGTGTTCTGGTTGACTTTGATAGCAGACGGGTTGGACCTGGATAAATACGTTTCGAGAATATTGTTATAGAGTAGGTGTTTCCTAAATTTATATATTTACTTATCTGTCTGTCTATCTGTTTATCTGTCTATTTATCTTTTTTCTGTTTATAATTCTTTCTATCTGATTAGATGTTTAATTTTTATAACTTTTTTCTATATTTCTATCTAACCTAGCCTGTCTTGCAACTTTCAAAAGTAATTAACACTCTGAATAGAGTAAAATAGATTAGAGTAGTAGAATAGAATAGAATAGAACAGAACAGAATAGAATATATTGTGGGAATTAATTAAAGGGTTTGTCAACGTTAAATAAACTTTAATTAGTTACAGGAATTCTACAAACTTAATTAATTCAAATCGTTAGTTATAGTTACATACTACATACATATATATTTATATATATAAAAATATATATATATATATAGATAATTTTTAATTTTGTAAAAAAAAATTAAATTCTTGAAAATCCGCGATTTTTTTTAAAATGTAAACAAAAAGAACATGTTCACAATTTAAATAGAAGATGGGCGCGAAGCGTCCTTAAAGCCTAGAAAGAAGGGCGCGAAGCGCCTTGAATTTCTAGTATTGTATATTATTCTGTTCAAATCTATGTTGAAACGATAACTAATATGCTTACAAATTATAATAATAAATACTCAATTAGATTACTTTGATGTTTATATTTCAAACTATTTCTTAAAAAGGCCCAATTTGACGCCATGCTAAAAATCTCCTATTGCTAAGGTCCATCAAAGCTGTTCCTAACCATGGGGCCAGGATTGCTTCAACCTCTATTTTTATACTAATCTTCAATTCCTTCAATAGCACATATTCGAGTCTTTTTTAAAGATTAAAAGGACTGAAAAACCCTTATCCCTGTCTTATTTGGGCCACCCTGCATAAATAATAAATAATATATGTATATATATATATATGTTTCCGTTTCAGAAAAGGTTTCGGAAACGGAGTTCCGGAATACATTTCTTCTCAGCTTTCTAGAACGTTTTCATCGTATTTATTCTTAAGAAAAAATACAATAGTTTTCAATTTGTCCAGAGCTTTTTTGCGAAAATTTTACATCCAAAGTGCAATTATTAAGTATTAATTTTCGTCAACTGTATACTGAAATAAGATACTGCTATAATGTTAAATTAGCTGTATATTTTAGCATCGGTGCTATAAAGTTTCAATTACTTCCAAACAAAATTTGGAACATATCTTGAAATTTTCTTTTTAGTTTGCTTTATTTTGATTTATTTATAAATCTGCTTTGCTTGCATCAAAACAAGCACACAATAAATTCATAAAATTACTTAGCTACTATTATTTTGGCACAAAGTTAAAAAAAAAGTTTTTAACTTAAATTTAAATTCAATAACTTTCTGTCCAAAAACTTTATAGCACTGATGCGAATTAAAATAGTATTAGCTGATTACATCACGGTTTGTAGTATTGAACTAACCTATTTTAACTTTATTAACGAAAACAATTACTTTAAATTATTTTTCACAAAATATGAAATATACGCAAAACTTAATTAATGTATGTTAAGTAAATTTGTAAATTAAATAACACTTGATCTCAAGAAAAAAGTTGTAATTTGTAATCAGAACTATATGTGTGCCTAGTATATTTAAGTATATGTTGAGTTACTAGTGTTTGTATAAAGGATTATTGAAGGTGGGGTATGTTAAGTATAATTTAGGCATACATTCCATACTTAACTTCTTACTTTATCATTTTCCATTCTTTACATTCCTTGTCTCTCATTGGTCAATTTTTGTCTGAATACCTCTCCCAACGGCTAATCTCTTCCTCGGATTGGCTACTGGCCAATTTCGTTGACCCGGTCCGCCCGCCTGTAATGGTAGAGCTACTAATAGCTGATTTTGCCAAACTTTTGTGTCGGACTGGGCCGGAGGGGTAAGTGGCCGGGAAGGTAAAGCCAAGGAACTGTAAATACGTCGGAACGAGCCAGACTGCGGAGCAAAGTGGCCGCGTGTCGGCAGCGTCCGGTCCGGGCCACAAACTCGCGGATTTTCACCCAATAGGGACGAGTGGCCAATTTTGAGTAGGATAGACGCGAAGTCACTAACTAGTATTGTGTTGAGGGGGAAATTGGTAGAATTAGTTGACTAGTGGTATTGAAATACGTATTAACGTATTATAGCTCCTCTAGCTAATACTCTAAGCTTGAGCTAAATACCCAACTAAGCCTCAGGGTCCACATTCCATCCCTACTTACAAGATTTATCCAGTGAAGAAAATTATATTTTTTCAAAATGTTGCAAACAGAAGAAAGAATTCAGACATTACAGCAAACTTCAACAATACCCAAAACTCCGTTTGCCATTCAGGAACTTTTAGGGCTCACAAACTCAGGAGAGCCAGAAATGGGAATGAAAGGGGGTTCTGGGGCGCAGGAGGTTGTGCCCCCATTTTCAGGGTACACCCCTCGCAGCTCTGGCATGCTGCATCCTTCAAGTATGGCTGATCAATTCTCTCTCTCTCAGGCATGCCATGCATTTTTTTCCGTTAAATGTTAAGTTATATAAAAAATTAAAAAATGTCTGAGAATTCATTCATCATTAACTAGAAATAACTAGACAATATTTTTTTCAATTAAAATTAACAAGCAAACACCAATTATTTGTGTTCTATATTTTAATTAGGTCTGAATCTGAACGTATAAGCTAATTAGTTCTAAACATTTAGTTTAATAAGGTCTAAACATTTAGTTTAACTAGACCTAAACATTAAGTTTAATTTGGTCTGAACATTTAGTTTAATTAGATCTAAATATTGAGGTTAACTAGGTCTAAACATTTGGTTTGATTAGGTCTAAACATTTAGTTTAATTAAGTCTAAACATATAGTTTAATTAGGTATAAACATTTAGTTTAATTAGGTGTAAACATTTATTTTAATTAGGTTTAAACATTTAGTTTAATTAGGTCTAAACATGAAGATAAATTAGGTCTAAACATTTAGTTTAATTAGGTCTAAGCATTTAGTTAAATTAGGTCTAAACATTTAGTTTAATTAGCTCTCAGCATTTAGTTTAGCTAGGTCTAAACATTAGTTTGATTAGGTCTAAACATTTAGATTTATTAGATTAAACATTTAGTTTAATTAGGTCTAAACATTAATATTAATTAGGTCTCAACATTTGGTTTGATTGGGTTTAAACATTTAGTTTAATTAAGTCTAAACATAAAGTTTAATTAGGTATAAACATTTAGTTTAATTAGGTGTAAACATTTAGTTTAATTAGTTCTAAACATTGAGGTTAATTAGGTCTAAATATTTGGTTTGATTAGGTTTAAACATTTAGTTTAATTAAGTCTAAACATATAGTTTAATTAGGTATAAACATTTAGTTTAATTAGATGCAAACATTTAGTTTAATTAGGTATAAACATTTAGTTTAATTAGATGCAAACATTTAGTTTAATTAGGTATAAACATTTATTTTAATTAGGTCTAAACATTTAGTTTAATTAGGTGTAAACATTTATTTTAATTAGGTTTAAACATTTAGTTTAATTAGGTATAACCATTTAGTTTAATTAGGTCTAAACATTAAGATAAATTAAGTCTAAACATTCAGTTAATTGGACTCAAACATCTAGTTTAATTAAGTCTAAACATTTTGTTTAATTAGCTCTCAGCATTTAGTTTAATTAGGTCTAAACGTTTAGTTTAATAAGGCCTAAATATCTAGTTTAATTAGCTAGGTCTAAACATTTAGTTTGATTAGGTGTAAACATTTAGATTAATTAGGTTAAACATTTAGTTTAATTAGGTCTAAACATTTAATTTAATTAGATCTCAACATTTAGTTCAATTAGGTCTAAACATTTAGTTTAATTAGGTCTAAACATTCAGTTTAATTAGGTCTGAACATTTAGTTAAATTAGGTCTGAACATTTAGTTCAATTAGGTATAATTATTCAGTTTAATTAAATATAAACAATTAGTTTAATTATGCCTAAACATTTAGTTTAATTAGGTCTGAACATTTAGTTAATTAGGTCTAAACATTAGGTTTAATTAGGTCTGAACATTTAGTTTAATTAGGTCTAAACATTTAGTTTAATTAGGTCTATACATTAGTTCAATTAGGTCTGAACATTTAGTTGAATTAGGTCTAAACATTCGGTTTAATTAGGTCTGAACATTTTGTTTAATTAGGCCTGAACATTTAGTTTAATTAGGTCTAAACATTTGGTTTAATTAGGTCTGAACATTTAGTTTAATTAGGTCTAAACATTTAGTTTAATTAGATTTAGTTAAATAAATAGAATAAAATAGAATAAAACTTTTTATGTTATTGTATTGGGTATCTTGCGTGTGAAAAGTTTTTGCCAGGTTTTTTACTTTTTATAGTTTGTTTTCGATCAAAATGAAATTTTTTTTTTCACACCGAACAAACTAGAAAAAATACAAATCCCGGCAAAAACTTGTTCACAATTAATAATACCCAATGATCCAATGACATACAATAAATATTGTGTGTCCAATGCAACCCGCTTACTTGAAATTTATTTTTTTGCCTTTAAGTTTTTATGTTTTAAAAAAAGCCAAACAAATGCCCGGCATGATACAGGCAGCATCTAGAATGTACTTCAACTCTCAGTTCTTCCCTGGGATGGGCGGTATGATGGGCGGGATGGCTGGGATGGGCGGAATGGCTGGTATGGGCGGAGTACCTGCCCAGAATCCGATGCATACGATGAACATGAATATGCTTTACATGGATTCCTTGCAGAGAGGAGGGGATGCCTGCTCCTCCGGTAAGTGTAAAAAAGTAAAAAATAAATAAAAAATTATCAAAAATTATAATTTTACAATTTATTAAATTTGCATGTAAACATTTTAAACGCGTGCTTAGTCTAAATGAAAATATCAAAGAAAAGAGTCGATATTATTTTTTTTGGCAACAACATTTTTTTTTATTTGAATGAAATTCTTCTGAACTTTACCATTCATGCTCAATTTGTGTTCAGTTTGCTTATAGCAGTAATAAAAATACAAATCAAAATTAAGGATTTTTTCGAAGAATAATTTGTTTTGTTAAAGTTAAGTTAGTGTTTGTAAATATTTCTTTAAATGTCTTTTTTAATTTCTAAGTCTAGTTTCTGCGACAACGAGAGGGTAGGAGAGGAGGTCGGGGTAAGAAGAGAGAAGAGAGGGTAGGAGAGGGAGGGCGGGGTAAAAAGAGAGAAGAGGGGGTAGGAGAGGGAGGAAGGTGGANAAAGGGGAAGGAGAGACAGGGTGAGGGGAAGGAGGACAGAATAAGGAGGAAGGGGGGAGGGGTAATTGTGGCATGACTACGGTATGAATAGTGAAGAAGGGAGGAAAGATTGATAATAGTAGAATAGAATTAAAGAATAGAAGGCGTTTCTCCGTAGTTATAAAATTTCAACATTTCCCATAATCAAGGAAATATTTAATTTTCAAAATAAATTTAATAATTTGAATATCGAGTATTTATAGATAATCGAAATAAAGATTTAATCGGTTCCCAAAATAATTTTTCTTAAAGGGAGTGTTCGCGAAAAATAAAAGGGGGTATAAGCATTATGCGATAAAAAAGCGCTTTTGATCGCTACTAATCTTACTTATATCTGTTGCGTCTATAGGGAGAAAAGTGTTTAAAACGACTCACACCGAAGAACGCAGCGTCCATACAAATTCGGAAAGATGCAACATTCAACTCGGATCGTAAACAAATCAATTTAATTCTAAACAAATCATTCAGATATAACAAACAGTAGTCATCGATTATTTTTCGACGCATTCGTATAAAGTTAATATTTCATAATATTTTTGATTTTTTTTTAAAAATAATTTTCGCTGGCGTTGGATTTTCGAACATTCCTGAAAAATATGAAAACGTAATTTTCATTATCAAAAATCCTCAAAACAATAAATGTTTACAAATGTAACTCTCAGATCATGAAAAATACAAAATATTATGAAATATCAACTATTTACGAATGCGTCGAAAAATATTCGATGACTATTGTTTGTAATATCTAAATGATTTGTTTGGAATTAAATTGATTTGTTAACGATCCGTGTTGAATGTTGCATCTTTCTCAATTTGTATGGACGCTGCGTTCTTCGGTGTGAGTTTTAACAATTTTCTCCTAATAGAGGCAGCAGATAGAAGTAAGATTAGTAGCGATCAAAAGCGCTATTTTTCGCATTAAGCCTTTACCCCCTTTCATTTTTCGCGAACACTCCCATTAAATATGTTTCCGATTCCCAATAAATCCGGCCCCAAGTCACTGTGATTTCAAGGTCTCACGCTCTCAAGCAAAAGTCTATGCGAATTTTGCCAAAAATGATTTGTTTGGAATTAAATTGATTTGTTTACGATCCGTGTTGAATGTTGCATCTTTCTCAATTTGTATGGACGCTGCGTTCTTCGGTGTGAGTTTTAATAATTTTCTCCTAATAAAGGCAGCAGATAGAAGTAAGATTAGTAGCGATCAAAGCGCTATTTTTCGCATTAAGCCTTTACCCCCTTTCATTTTTCGCGAATACTCCCTTTAAATATGTTTCCGATTCCCAATAAATCCGGCCCCAAGTCACTGTGATTTCAAGGTCTCACGCTCTCAAGCAAAAGTCTATGAGAATTTTGCCAATTACTTCTCAAAAACAAAGCTAACATCAAGTGCTTTATAGTGCTAAAATGTACATGTAAAGGTCTAAAGAAAAGCTGAGTTAGAGTGGTAAATCTAAGCCCAGAGCGTTGCAACACTTCAAAGTCGACCCTGTCTTAAAACTTGATTAGACTGTTTATAAGAGGCACATTAAGCAAACATAATCAAGTTTTGGGTAAAAATAAGAATATTTGATTCATCCTTTAGTTATTAAGTGTTTAAAGGGTACCATTGTGAATCACGCACGCCACACTTTTTTAAACTGGAGGGTCACTTGAAATTACGCCGACAGTCCCTTTAAACCTTTGAAAAATTAATATTTGAAACTACGGTATATGGTGTATTGTCAACTTTAATTGATATTTACGTTAACTACAATTTTATTTTATTGAATGAAATAGTTTAGTTAAATTACAGGGATATTACAGGAATATTGTGAATAAAATATTCAATAATATTATTAAGGTATTATCTGCAGTCCTTTATCTATATATATAGTTTATATACTTTGCTTGTCTTGGCGTTTGTCTGTTTATCTGTTCGTTTGTGTCCAATAAACGTCAAAACGGCTGAGCCGATATCAAATTTTGTGTGGGACATCACATGACCCCAGGGAATGTTTATGGATGCTCAAAACTACAAAAATGTGTGTCCAAATTTTTTTATATTAGTTAAATTTCAATAATGTGCCAAAAAATATTATTAACTCCGCGAACTTTTTCTGTTATTGTTTTTTTTATTGTACAAAGAGAAGATAGAAGATGGACGCGAAGCGCCCTAAAAGCCGAGTAATATATAATTTGACAGGCTACATAGATTGCAGAGACGATAAATTATATATTTTAAAAATAAAATATTTTTAGTTTTTATTAAATAGTCTAATAACACAAATATTTTTGTTCCTCATCATTTCTATAAAAACCATAAAAATAATAACATTTAAAACTAACAGAAGATCCTTTATTTAAAAGAGGAAATTTAGTGGGGTGAAAAATAATGTCAAATTGTAAAAATGTCTTATTTTTTAATAAATTTTAAATGTTTTTAATTTAANGGTACAGAGGGACCCATGAAGTACATGCACGGTACAGAGGGACCCATGAAGTACATGCACGGTACAGAGGGACCCATGAAGTACATGCACGGTACAGAGGGACCCATGAAGTACATGCACGGTACAGAGGGACCCATGAAGTACATGCACGGTACAGAGGGACCCATGAAGTACATGCACGGTACAGAGGGACCCATGAAGTACATGCACGGTACAGAGGGACCCATGAAGTACATGCACGGTACAGAGGGACCCATGAAGTACATGCACGGTACAGAGGGACCCATGAAGTACATGCACGGTACAGAGGGACCCATGAAGTACATGCAAGGTACAGAGGGACCCATAAAGTACATGCACAGTACAGAGGGACCCATGAAGTACATGCACAGTACAGAGGGACCCATGAAGTACATGCACAGTACAGAGGGACCCATGAAGTACATACACAGTACAGAGGGACCCATGAAGTACATGCACGGTACAGAGGGACCCATAAAGTACATGTTGAGCCTCTTATGCCCAATTCGATGCCCGTGGAAGAAAAAAATTAGATTTAGGGAGAAGAAAATTTGTTTTTAAGACTATTTACACTATTGGGTTCCCTCAAAAAATGTCATCCAATTCGGTCCAGCGGTTTTGCCAGCTACAGCTAATTTAATATATATATATTAAATATATATATGAGCGAATAGCTTTATTATTTAAATTAAATAAGCTTAGGCCTAAAACTGTAAAAAAACTACTCTAAACTTTTTTATTTTTTTTTTCTGAGTTTTCGTGCTCCAACTCATTTAATTTTCAATTTTGTCTTCATCAAGTTTTCAAGAAAATTAGATGTTTTTCTAGAGATGGGCATCGTTTTTGTAAACAAAGGAAATTTTCCTTAGATGGAATTTAAAGAATTTGAGCCGCCGCTCAAATTCTTTAAATTCGGTCATTAAACGAACAAAAAAATTCTTGAACAATGTTGTCGTTTAGAAAAAAAATAATGAACAAATGGAATTGTTCGTTCGGAGCATTTTAAAAGCGAGAGTTTTAAAATTTAAAATTGTTAACATTCGTTTGTGCTTTTTTAGTCTGACAGTTCTTAAACGATCAAGTTCATTCGAACAAATTTTATTGTTTAATAAAAGATATTTCTAATTGTTATATTTAAATTTTTTTTGGGAAACCCAACCTTACCCGGCCCTAAACGAACCGAATGTAAATTTTTAAATAAAAATAACGCGCCCATCTCTAGATGTAACATGACATATTTTTAGAAAAATACAAATATGCTGATTTCTAAATCAAGTAAAATATAGATTTGCATATTTTGATTGCTATGATATGAGGGGAGGGGGATACAGGGTGTACACTAGGTACAGGGTGTACACTAGGTACAGGGTGTACACTAGGTACAGGGTGTACACTAGGTACAGGGTGTACACTAGATACAGGGTGTACACCAGATACAGGGTGTACACTAGGTACAGGGTGTACACTAGGTACAGGGCGTACACTAGGTACAGGGTGTACACTAGGTACAGGGTGTACACTAGGTACAGGGTGTAAACTAGGTACAGGGTGTACACTAGGTACAGGGTGTACAACGTTTGAGTCACCCTGTAAATTTGCTATTGTTTTTAAAGGTTGAGACTAGACCTGGTAGTTGAGCTGAAAGTGCAGTATTGTAGAGGAATTTTTAGGGTTCATTTGAGGCCCAAGAGATGTTTTAACGATGCATAATTGTTCAGCAAGAACGCAAGTTCAATTTCCAAAAATAATCGGGAAAGATGATTTTGAGATTTGGTTTTTTAAACCATTCAAGAACGACGACGAAAAATGTAATAAAATTCTACAGTAAACTGATTAGTTGTTTAGGAACCTAGGTTGAGAAATAAAAATTAACACTCATCATCAAAAATCTTGTTCGGTTATTGGTTTCTGTCTCATTGCTCATAAATATTTTCCGTAGATTTCCTGGAATTTTTTATTGAAAAGACAATTTTTGAAGAAATCTGCGAACAAATTCATGAAGACTGATAAATGAATGATTTGATGAAATCTGCGAAGACATTTATGAAAAATGAGAAATTCAATATAATGATGATAAAGAAATAATTGATTCTAACATTGATTTATTCAAACATTTCTATTGTGAAATATGTACCTGAACATCTAGCTAGTTTACTGTAGAATTAAATAATTAAAAAATAATGATTCTCAAAATGTATTCTCCAAAATGGAGAATTTTAAAGATCGATTCTGCTCTCTTATATCAGCAGTTTTACACCGGAAAAAGGTCTCATTGGCATCAAATGAATCCTAAAAATTCGATAAAACTGAACTCTTAGCTCAACTACCATATCTAGCCGGTCTCTCCCTCTAAAAGTAAATGTTCACTATAAAAATTAACATTGAAAATACATAGAATAAGATATCATTCACATTTTAATTAATTGGTTCCGTTTTCAAATCTATTTGATATTTTCATAAATTTAAAAAAAGAAAGAAAAAGTTATCCATCAAGAATAAACAAAACTCAAAATTTGATTTCGTAAAAAAATGAATATTCACATTTTCAGAAGAGTATATTTTAATTACTTAACGTAAAAAATGTTAAAATAGAAAGAGATGGATTAAAAAAAGGAAAAAAGAATTTTTTATCGAAAACGCAAGGTTTGAAAATTAATATGGACTGGTACAGTGCTACAAAAAGTAGACTTTTAGAAATGTATATATTAAGGTCAATCCCAAGGCCAATTAAAATTCCACCCGGTCTTGAATATTGGTTCATAATTTTCATAGTTGTCTGAACAATAATAAATTACTTAATCAATATATTATTAAAATACTGCTGACAAAGATGTTAACGTTATCACGCAGAAACCAAATAGTATTTTACCAATTACTCCTTTTAATCTTAACTTAAGCTAGAAACAAGCAGTTTGCAGTTTAAGAATGTATATATATACCTACTTAAAAAAGGATAATTCAGTTGGTGATATATAGCTGAAGCTAAAGCCATTGCGATGCATTAAAGTCTATGCTGATAAATAACTTTTATAGTTGGCTAAATCTTCTATATAATAAAGCTCTTCGCTCATGTATAATACATATATATTTATATGTTAGCTTAAAGCTGGCCAAACGGCTGACCGGAATGGACTAACATTTTTGAGGTAACCCATGGGTGCCCGGGGAGTAACAAAATAAATAACAGAGCTGAGTTCCATGTTTTTTGATTTCCAATTTATTTTTGTATAAATTTGTGTTCTTGGTTTAAATAAAGAAAATATATCTTTCTTAATATCTTACATATATATCTTTCTCAACAACTCACATATCTATCTTTCTCAATATCTAATATATATATGTACCTTTCTCAATATCTCACATCTATATCTTTCTTAATATCTCACATACAAAGCTTTCTCAAAATCTTACATATATATATATTTTATTATATCTCACATATATATCTATCTCAATATCTCACATACATTTCTTTCTCAATATCTCACATATATATCTTTTTCAATATCTCACATATACATCTTTCTCAATATCTCACATGTACATCTTTCTTAAAATCTCACATATATATCTTTCTCATTATTTCACATATATATCTTTTTTTAATATCTCATAAATATATCTTTCTCAATATCTCATATATTTATCTCTCTGAATATCTTACATATATACATATCTTTCTTAATATCTCACATATATATCTTTCTCAATATCTCGTATATACATATATCTGTTTTAAAATCTCATATATAAATATTTCTTAATATCTCGTATATATATCTGTTTTAATATCTCATATATAAATATTTCTTAATATCTCACATATATATCTTTCTCAATATCTCGTATATATATATGTTTTAATATCTCATATATAAATATTTCTTAATATCTCACATATGTATCTTTCTCAATATCTCGTATATATATCTGTTTTAATATCTCATGTATAAATATTTCTTNGGGGGGCACAGAATGAAATAAATGCTCGTTCAACGGGGACTTTTGGGGGGAGTGTAAGAGGGGTGAGACATTGCAAGTTCGAGAAAATAGAATATTTTTGAGATCTTTTCCAGCAGATATGACTTGAATTTCATGAATAACTCCATGTTTTAATGGTTAAATAGTTCAAATTATGAATTATATGAGAGATTTTGTTAATGAAAAAATAATAAATCGGTTAATTTTTCCCATGCAGTGTACACATATCATCATTTTTATCATCAGAAAATGTATTCCGACCAAAAATAATTGATTTTTGCAACAAATGTTCAAAACCAGACGAATAAATGTTCTCTAAATGTTTAATCTAATTTCCACTTTTGCTAAAACCAATTCCCCGTTCCCTAAACACCATTTTGTCCATTTTGAACAAATTTGTCGGCGCTCCCATTAGCCCGGTCCACTGTGCCGCTGAGATGCCGCCATTTTCTCGCCGCCATTTTGTTTCCGCCATATCTGGAGGATTTATCGCTTAAACTAGGGAGCTGGATTATTTAATTAAGCGGGGAATTATCCTTTTTCACATTAAAGCTGTAATTTAGTAAGAAGGAAATTAATTTTCAAGAAACAGGATTTAGACAAATAAAATTAAGGGAAAGTGCATGAACGATGTCAAATGATTTTTTTTTTTATCAATTTTTGAATTATTATTAAATCGGATCAGTTTTCAAAGCGAATTGATTAAAAATAAATGATAATAACTATAATATCTCACATTTTACTTTATAAATGGTATACGGGGACTTGTTAAAATCTTGAAATACTCTTAAATAAAAAATATTTTTGATTATTGAATATTGATGCAACAGTAAAAAGAGAAAGGCACAAATTGTTTGGAATTGTCAAACTACTTTTTGAAACGCTAAAGCTAAAAAGAAAAACTTTAAAGTTTTGAAATTCACATGTTTACAAAAGTTTACTTAAGTTATTGAGGTAACATCAAAGCCCAAGGCGTTGCGACACTTTAAAGTCGACCCATTCTTAAAAGTTGATGAGACTTTTTATAGGCAGGCTGAATCTAGGTGCAGTAGAGAACCGAGCAAAAATAGTTTGGAATTGTTCAAACTACTTTCTGAAATGCTAAAGCTAAAACGAAAAGCTTTAAAGTTTTAAAATTTACATGTTATAGGGCCAAAAAAAAGAATACGTAAGTAAGCTTTGAAGTACGTATATAGACCCGGTCTTAACAACAGATGCAACTTTTCATAGCAGTCTGGTTCTATGTAGAAGATTTAGCTGATAAAAAACATTCGCCATTATGCAAAAATTAGTTATTATGTTTTTAAAACTTATTTAAATAAACCAATAAACTATAGTTTCAGTAGAAGTAAATAATTCCATTTACTGATAGCGCCTATAGAAGGATTCATAACTCTGATTGGATAATGAGATAGATAGAAAGATAGATGTTACCGCCATACTATTTCTATTGGTTCAGAATAAACAATAAACACATGACTAAACCCTGATTGGATCAGGCGCTAATGGACTCGGCATACAGGAGTGAATTAAGCAATTTCTAATTCTAGATCTTGAGAAATCCCCCCTGTGTGGTGGGGTCCTGGGGAAAAAGAAGAAAAAGAAGAGACGACATAGAACTATATTTACTTCTTATCAGTTAGAGGTAACAACATGCATTTTTCAGCTACGCCATATTTTTATTTTCATTTAATCATAAAACCATAGAGGTAACAGCATGTATTTTTCATCTCAGTCATAATTTTTTATTCGCGTTTAATCATAAAGTTTCAGATTTCGCATAATTATCTGTTTTCATTGCTGATTCATGAAAAAAAGGTTTGAATTAAATTTTCTTTTGGATGCACCATTTCTTATATTGCTAAATAGCATGCAACGTAACGATAAAATGTTTTAGGACACAAACAAACAGAAACACATAAAGATAAGAATTTAATTTACGAGATAAAAGATTTAATTTGGACTTTTGCCTCGAATATAGAAAAAGAGAAAATCTAAAGAAAGAATCAAAGATAATATAAGTTTTCAGTCGTCTTTGAAACATCTCATCCTTTTAGATTTACCCTGTATATAATTGCAAAATTTTGGGGGAAAATTGATTTTAATTAAGTAAAATTAGCTTTACCTTGAATTTCTTTAATTTGTTAAGGAGCTTGAAAAGGCATTTAAAGATGCGCATTATCCTGATGTTTATGCTCGGGAGATGCTCAGCTTAAAGACTGATCTACCAGAGGACCGGATACAGGTTAATAATATATGTTATATCCCTAGTATACTACTTTATTGTCCCAGGTGAGCACTTCGTTTCAATTATTTTAAGAGAAATATCCCTTGAAATCAGGGGATTATTTAAAAGTGTCCACATTGGATACCGAGATTTAGCGTTCAAAATTAACAAAACCCACACAAAAATTCCGTTCTAAGAACATTTTTAAATATGTAACAGTTCTATTAGTTTAAAATTTTCCATATACTTTGCCACATATCTAATTAGACAATTATACGATAATTAGTCCGTACACTGTACAAAATTTAATTTAAAAATAATTTTATCGTTCAATCGAATGCAAATATTTGGATTTATTTCTATTAAACAATTTAGTGTTTCATTCTAAAACTAAAATACAAATTTAGCCAGCTAGAAGACTGTTTTTTCACAAAAAATTTCGTGGATTTTCAAAATTTTAAAAAATTTAATGAAGATCGAATTTTGATGGAGACAAATATTTAAAACTTTGATCATTCATAAATCTTCCCTGGGGTCCCTAAATATCCCACAAAAAATTTGGGCCCGATCGGTTTAGACGTTTTGACGTTTTTTGTATACAAACAAACAGACAAACAATCAGACAGACAAGCCAAATTTATATATAGATATATATATATAAATATATTGTTTGCCGATAGAAAATGGTAAAAATTCTGGTTTAATATTAACCCTTTATTATATCTCTGTAATCAAATTATTATATCCATAACATTAATATACATATGCTTGATGTTTATATATTTATTTATATATATATATATATATATATATATATTTATATTTAAGTAAAACAGTATTCAACACATGATTTGAGTTTTTATTGTATAAACATTATGTTTCATGCATTCTTCATGCAGGATACTAATTTGGAGATTTCTTTAAATAACATATATACAGCTTCAAAGTAAAATATTTTAATATATTTCAGGATCTCACTATGATATATATATCTAGTCTAGATAATTGTAGTTTGCTTGTCTAGCTGTGTGTTTGATTTTCTGTTTGTATCCAATAAACGTCAAAACGTTTGAACCGACCGGGACCTCACATTACCCCAGGGAAGGTTTATGGATGCTTAAAATTACTCAAATTTGAGTCTAACAGTTTTGATTTGGTAAAATTTCGAAAATGCGCGAAAAAATATCATTCAATCCAAAAACTTTTTTTGATTTTATTATATATTGTACAAAAAGATGAAGAGTTTATTTTGGTACTAGAAAATCTATATATAAATTTGGCTTGTCTGTTTGTTTGTCTGTTTGTTTGTATCCAATAAACGTCAAAACGGCTGAACCGATCTGGCCCAAATTTTTTGTGGGACCTCACGTGACCCTAGGGAAGGTTTATGAATGATCAAAGTTTTAAATATTTCTGTTTAAAAGTTTTTTATTTTGAAAAATTTTGAAAATGCGCAAAAAAATATTATGAAATCCGCAAACTTTTTTGTTTTTGTTTTATACTGTACAAAGAGAAAGCCTAGAAAGAAGGGCACAAAGCGCCCTGAATTTCTAGTATTTTTAAATGGTAAAAATCCAAAAATTATTTTTTAAGAGGTATTAAATTAAAATGATACCCTTCAGCCCCTTATACATTAAGGGAAGAAAATATTGTCGGTGTTTTTTTTGTCTTGAAAAGATATGAATTCTTTTATTTCCTATTTTGTTCCTTCTGCAAAAATCCGAAAAGTAAAAACTGTGAAAGTTTTCAATGGTAATATCTTAAAAACAAGGATAACACATTCATTTTTTTTCACAGACTAAAAGTTTATAAAGGGTACCGTTGTGATTCGTAAATTTCCATCTTTTATGCTCAGTTCTAAGGTACAGGGTGTCCCAATAAACATGGGAATTAAGTGACGACTTTTATATCGTTTTTCTTCCGTAATGTATTATCACGTGAACATAATTTTAGTAGTATTTAAGTTCAAACAGTTAGTAATTTTAACAGCTAGTCTTGGGAATTCCAAAATGAGGTTTGCCATTTCTGCACTTTCAAAATTGACGGAGATATTAAGAAATCTGACCAGATTGTGATTTATTAAAAACTCAGCAAAACTGTTCAAATGTTAAGTATTTCCGTCAATTTAAAAGAAACAAAGAAAGCAGACAACATTTTATAAAGCACATAAGACGTACACTATTTATTTCGATACACTTTATGTAATTTATTAACTTTTAGAAATCGAAGACGATTTTCAAGGCGTCTCTTAATTCCCATGTTTATGGGGACACCGTAGTGGGGTCATTATATTTGTAATGTATGTCGTGAACGTACTGCCAAATAAACTTACTTCCTTAGAACGGAACTTTTTCTTGCCTTGCATAATAATGTTGACTACTGTATTTCATGAAGTATATCGTGTACTGCATGTAATCATATTCTTAGCCAAAGAACTATAGTGTTATTTCAGAGGTGTACGAATTTTAAATAATGCAGTGTACTGTCTCTGGACTGTAAAGTAAATACAAGACGGATGTTACAACCTGACATGGGATCCATCTTTCACATAATAAATCAATGAAATATTCTGGTCATAGGAAACTATTATATGAATTATCAAAATTATTAAAATTGAATGCTTTTGTCCGCCTCGGATACTAAACAAACACTGATGCATCTATTCTTGTTTACAACCACAGCCCAGAGAGAACTGGTTTCAATATGTACGCAGAGTATGCGCTACAGAAATGAACTTTCCTTGCCTTATTACCTTGTTTTGAACTTCCTTAAATCAGAAAGTCTGACAAGTATGTTTTGTTTTGGCTTGTGGAAATACAGTTTTGATTATTGATAACATTAATAAATGCTTATTTACGGGTAAAATTACGAAGACAGTCCCTTTATTTAAACTTGATATATCTATAGGTCTGTCCCTTTATTTAAACTTGATATATCTATAGGTCTGTCCCTTTATTTAAACTTGAAATATCTATAGGTCTGTCCCTTTATTTAAACTTGATATATCTATAGGTCTGTCCCTTTATTTAAACTTGATATATCTAAAGGTCTGTCCCTTTATTTAAACTTGATATATCTATAGGTCTGTCCCTTTATTTAAACTTGATATATCTATAGGTCTGTCCCTTTATTTAAACTTGATATATCTATAGGTCTGTCCCTTTATTTAAACTTGATATATCTATAGGTCTGGTTCCAAAACCGTCGAGCTAAGGAGCGTAAAACATCTAAGACGTGGGGACGGGGGAGTATAATGGCTGAGTATGGACTCTACGGAGCAATGGTTCGACACTCTCTTCCTCTACCGGATACTATTCTTAAATCAGCAGAAGTAGATGAATGCGTAGCACCCTGGTTACTAGGTAGACCATTCATTCATTCATTTATTCATCCTTTCATTCATTCATTCATTAATCCCTTCATCCTTTCATCCTTTCATCCTTTCATTCTTTCATCCTTTCATCCTTACATCCTTACATCCTTTCATCCTTTCATCCTTTTATCCTTTCATCCTTTCATCCTTTCATTTATTCATTTATTCATTTATTCATTTATTCATCCTTTCATCCTTTCATCCTTTCATCCTTTAAAGTGTTAAAATTTTGACAATTTCCTTCTTTTTTTCGAAAGCATAAATCCACAAGTCACTTAAATAAAAATGCACGATTGAAACTAATTAAATTTTAAGCTAGAAAAACAAAGATATATCATTCTTCATCTTTGACCAGATATTTCAGTTTAACATCTTAAACAGAGGTTGTTGTGGAAGGAACACAATAATCAAATTAAACTTACATTTTTCTAACGTTTATATAATATTATTTTTGTTGATTCAGTACAAACCAGCCCCTCCCCTTTCCTTGTCTCTCCACACACCCTTCCACCCTCCTCTNCATTAAACTGCAGTAGTTATACCGTATACTATGTATATATATATACATGTTATCGTATTGCATTAAACTGCAGTAGTTATACTGTATACTATGTATATATATATACATGTTATCGTATTGCATTAAACTGCAGTAGTTATACTGTATACTATGTATATATATATACATGTTATCGTATTGCATTAAACTACAGTAGTTATACTGTATGCTATGTATATATATACATATTATCGTATTGCATTAAACTGCAGTAGTTATACTGTATACTATGTATATATATACACATGTTATCGTATTGCATTAAACTACAGTAGTTAATAGTTATACTGTATGCTATGTATATATATACACATGTTATCGTATTGCAATAAACTGCAGTTGTTATACTGTATGCTATGTATATATATACATGTTATCGTATTGCATTAAACTGCAGTAGTTATACTGTATACTATGTACTGTGAACAGGTTTCACTCTCTGCCTTATCATTTTAAAAGCCCTTAAAAAAGCACTTTATTCAATGCGTAAGATTTAATTTAACCTAGAAATCGTCATATTTTGAGAGTTTTAGGTCGTCTATACAGTCTCATTCTTTGTGGGTTACCTTGTATATACAGATGTTGGATGGTTGTGTCCAACCTAGAAACTTTTCATCTTATATCTGTATATGTACGTGTGTACGTATTTAACTATAAATAAATATATCTAACTATCTATCTATCTATCTATATAAAGATACATATTTTCAAATATCACTCTACATCTGTCTGACTGTCAAATTTTCAAGATAATTTGATTTTCTTCCGAATCTTTTCATAATTCTATCTCCTCGGACTCATTTTATATATTTATCTATTTCTCAATCTTTTCGCAAAGAAAGGAGGAGGGGGCCAGGGGATCCTTTCATTCTTT